CCCATCTCTCCCTCCCTCCTTCCCTCCCTCCCTCCTTCCCCCCATCTCTCCCTCCCTCCTTCCCTCCTTCCTCCCCTCCTTTCCACCGTCCCGCCAGCCGCCCACTCGAGACCTAAAGTCAGCGTGTTATCGCCAATTTCCTGCTGGTTGGCTTGTCAGAGGGTGTTACTTCCCCTGCGATGCAAGATATTTTCGCGATCACGTTTCCCCGATGGCTCTGGAATGAGGTTCGGGCAATTTGCAAATGTGTGTTTATGTTATGTTCATGCTTCGGTTATCTCTTTAGTTTGTACGTATTTGCATATGTTTTGTGTATCGGCTTGTGAGTTGATGTGTATTTGCTTCTCTGATGGCGTGACTATTCGTAATGCTTCGTTGTATTTTCTATTATTTACTAGATTGTTGGTCCCAGTTTCTTCAATGCGTATCATAACTATCCTTTCCCTTATAGTTGTTTATGAAGATTATGATTATTGTTATATGTGTATCTCCGTTTTATTATTTTTAGCTACATACCTCATGACCAATATCCAATTCCCACATGAAAATTATGCGGTTGCGAGAGAGAGACAAGACCTCGTCCATTACGATATGTTGAAGTCATTACGCTAGTTAGTGTGTTTGTAGGTTAGGTCGTGGTCGCCTGTGTGTGTGTGTGTATGGGGTTGGAAGGTATATGGTGTATGCGTGTGCGATGGTAGTGTGGGGGAGGGGGAGGGGGGAGTGGACCCATTAGCATAGACAGTCTAGGCTTATGGTGAGGTCTGTGCCATCGCCGTGAACTTATCGAGGCGCCTTTGTTTGTTCGAGGATCAGGTTTTTATGTTGTTTTATTCATTTTTTTATGTCCGAAGCCCCTTTGGTTTGAATATTTATATTACAAAGCCTCGGCGAAGGTCATAGCAAAATTACCAATCAGTTTTATTATTATCTCTGTTTCTCTGAAGAAGTATGTTCATTTTCCAAAATTGAGGATGAAATTACGGTAGAAAAAGATATGATTATAATAATCATTATTGATATTGTTGTTTTGGTGGTGTTATATTATTACTGTTACTATTATTGTTATTATCAATATTATGAATAACATTACTACTATTATTATTGCTGTTGTTATCGCTGTCATTATTACTTTCTGAAGCCACCGTTTCACTTCCGACGATTAGAGATCAAATACGAGTTTGTGAGTGTGTTGTCTGACCCAGAGGAAGGCGTTGTGACAGCGCCGGCGCCGTGACTCACCTTGGGTAAGCTGGAATTTCTGTGCGCGTCACCAACCTTCCGATTGCTGAGCTGTGATTATGGTGTTTGTGGTGATTATGGTGTTTGTTGCTGGTTTCGCTGTTGTGAGTAAGATGTCAGGCGCGCAGGGTTTTAGTTATCGTTGTGATTGTTGTAGTGATTTTCAGTGTGTGTTGGGCGAAGATAAGATGAAAAATAAAGTAATTTTACTCCTCGTTTATGTTCTGAGGAATGTGTTTATGTATTTTTGTATGTTTGTTTATTCATTCATTTATTTACCCAAGTGACATTTCCGTTTGTCTTCTCTCTTCTCTGTGTCTTCCTGTTCCTCCCTTTTTGTCTTTCGGATTACCTTTGTTTTTATATCACGTCGACGAATGTTCATACTTAACTAACCAACTTTTATTTGTTTCCAGGTATGTGAAGCGGTGTTTCACGGAGATGGCGCAGGTACGGAGGTGAGTAACAGGAGAGAGAGGGAGAGAAGGGGAAAGGTGAGGTTTAGTTTAGTTTGATTCCGTTTGTTACAATGGATATTCTTGGTGTGACATACTATCTGCTTCGTTTTGCTTCTAAGCTATCCCCTGTGTGCAAGGAATGACCGGGGTTACCATCCACCGGCGGCGAGGGATTTGAACGCAGGTCAGCAAGATTGCCCGACGAGATCGCTACCGCTACACCACACAAAGCAAACACACACACACACACACACACACACACACACACACACACACACACACACACACACACACACACACACACACACACACACACACACACACACACCGAATTTGTGATCATCCTCATCCCGCATTAGCAAGAATCCCGCAGGAGGACCCACCCCCGGGCTTCTAATCCCCCTTCCCAAGCACGAGCCGCCCCCACCCCCTTCTGTCCCGCCCGCAGAGGTCCGTTCCTTTCCTTTTCTTCCCCGGATCGCCGTTTTAGGATGCCCGGGACTGGTTGTAGGATGCCCCATCGGCCGCGCGTGCCCCGCCTGCCCGCCTCGGAGATGAGCGCGTGTCATCCTTGCGTGACTGGGCGAGATCGGTTCCTGGAGTCAATGGAGGGGCGTGTTGTTCGCTGGGCACGTTCTCTTACCGGCTGCCGGCGGTTCGGCGGCGGTGACGTTGGCAGTCGGCGCTTTGGGGGGCGGGTTGTAGTTGTAATTATCATTATTATTTTTGTTGTTGCTTGTGTGTGTGTGTGTGTGTGTGTGTGTGTGTGTGTGTGTGTGTGTGTGTGTGTGTGTGTGTGT